TCACGACATTCCTAATAGCGTAAATGGACGCCATAAATCTTGGGTCGTCGAAGGGCTTGCAGCCCCGAGTGTTCCAACCACGTACGCTTTGGCTTTCGTCCGTTTAGGAAAGTTAACGCAGTTACGCTGAGACCCAAAAGACACCCGCTGCATCGGGGATGCAGAGAGCAAGAAATATTTCTAAGCAACAGCCGCTCTCACTCCTACAGTGCGTTAGGGGCGTAGAAAGTGGCCGGCCATGTGTAAAATTCCCCGATTGGAGGAAATCATTTTCAGTGGTTTTAACCAATCGGGGATAGCCATTAGAACTCCTCCCGTAAAAGAAACATCCTTCATAAAGGAGTACGAGGTATCAGAACCACTCTTCTTGTTACTTACAGTCTACGAGTTACTTCGCTTTCGAGACTACTACTTATGCATGGTATCGCGCCGTTACATTTTGTGCATACTACAAAATAAACTTGATTTACAACCTGATTTTTAATATTCATTTCGGACCATCGTCCGAAAGTAACCACGTTCCTTCAATATATTTCATACAATGCAGCAATATGTAGGTATTATTCCTATTGGATTGACATTTTCAAAAACTGTTCGACTTGAAAAGAAGAAGCACTTTTCCTTTCTTCCTTTCAACATCTCTGTAAAAATCTATATTCACGTAAACATTCGCAGCCTACAGATAAAAACAATTAAAATAAGATAAGTTGCAAAATCATTTCAAAGAGGACACAAAATCACAGATTTGATATTTCTTTAGATTAGATCTAAGAATATAATGGCATCTCTTGAAGAAACAAAGTGATTAAAATATAATGCGTATAATGAACTCATACAACTACGAGCACATTTAAATAGGCGCTGATATAAAAAAGCAATGAGAGATAATAAAGCCTACATTACACGCAAATCATTATATGGGTTCAGATGTAGTCGCACATTGTGACTTGACAAGATTATCGAAAAAAATATGATTCTGCTCTTCTACTGTCTAATCTTATTCACATTTACATGCTTGATATTGCTACTCACTCTTTCCTTTCATTTGTTTCCACGAGAAAAAGCTAACGGTTTACATCTTGAATAGTTTTAATTGATCAATTTCTGCTGATACGCTTTGTGCTATTTTCATGCTTGTTTAATGTATACGCCATTATTTATTGTTTATTATTTATTACTATTCATTATTATTCATGTGGAGGGTGGGAAATGCGCTGCAATAAAAACGACGACCACCCGCAATCAAAAGGGTTTGTCGATCAATCGCGACGAAGTACTTATATTATAATGCTTAGTTTCTTGGTATGAATAGACTGTTTGGGCGAGTGGCTGATGTCGTGCTGGGACGGCGTGATTCTAGTATGTTCAGGAAAAGTATGACTGCAGACAGGACGATCTCGAGTGGTTCAAGAGGTGTGAAGGAAGAATGTGTGGAACCGAGCGACTAGATCATAAGAATGACGTGATTAGTAAAGTGTACATGAGATTGCGAGAATGTTAGCTATGGATGCAAGGGACAGGATGCAAATGAGAATGAATGCTCATGAATAGAATGAAAGAGTGATTGGGGATGACTGTTAAAAGTGTGTGCGAGTTTAGCGCGAAGACAATATGACAGCATAAGCGAAGTTATTCCTATTCGTTTTTATTTATTAATTATTTAGTTCAATAAAACTTTTGTTAATGTTAAAGTCCTGTACGTTGTCCCAATCCTACATTTCTTATACATTATTTTTGATACATTAAAAGTGTATATTTATTATTCATTTATATTTAGAACAAACACTGGCAATTTATTAATTCACTCGATACACAACAATTCTCATATAAAACGCCCCTATGTATTAATAACTTCTTATCAGAGTGTAAAACCAAAATATCAAACAACGGTTCCACGCCATTTCCCAAAATCCCAGAAAATCTCCACGCCTCGAATACACGGCGATACTCACCAATATCGCCCCCGAACGGCACGGTGTCTGCTTATACGGCATATTTCGAGGATTGTTACGGGGATGTAAAAGAGTACGACGGCAGAGGCTGCGCACTTGCCAACGTAGGCCATTGCAGCCGGCTGCCGATTAACATATAAATCAAATCTCCGTCGACGGAGCACACCTCTCGCTTTCGCCAAGCTTTCACCGAGCTTTCGCCCAACCGAGCCATCCGACCCGTCCCGTTTCACCCCCGGTATTTTCCGCGTGTTCACGCGGTCGGATTTGTGTCCCTCGCAGCCCGCGCTCGTCCTCAGTAGAGTCCTCGGACCGAACTTTCGCCCTCTGGTCGAGGAGCCGAAACTCATCCGGATACAAGGTTCGACAAGCGCGCTGGAACTCGGCAAACTTGATATCCTGATTGAATATGTCGCGTGTGGAGGGAATCGCCGAGATGTCGGCAGCGGGTGACTTTCGCGCCAAGTTTCCCGCAACTTGCCCGTACGATTTCTCGAAGATTCACGGAATCTGGCCGAAGTACGATTTAGTTTCCGCTGGCGTGGCGGACCGATTTGATTTTTAGAAAATACGTCGGCCGACCCTGATTGGTAGATCGGCCTCTTCCAGTCTGCTTCGAACCGAATTGACAGTTAATTTAAACGGTTTCCGCGCGTTAGGAACTAAATTAATTGTATGCATGTTCCTGGATAGTCAGCGAAGTTTTTCGGGTGTCGGGTAACACTTCTGTAGGATGGTAATTGCGAGTAGGGATAATTAATCGTAAAATATATATGTACTCGTACGCTATATTGCCGGAGTTAAACTCGCTCTCGCTCGGTCACTTTGCCCTTTATCTTGCTTTGCATTCTCTCACACACATGCACACACTTTTCCTAAAAGAAACACACGCACTCTTCGCTAAAACAAAAACTAAAACTCTCTTCAAAAACTAAAACAAATATCGGACGCATCGTTCCAAACGCTTAAGTAGGCACAGAGTTCCACACAGCACTCACGCATTCATACACACAACGCATATACGCTCGGCCACCCTACACTTCTGCGTTGAGAGAGAGTTTCGCGTGAACTCTTCATAGTATATGTATGCATGGATCGGGAATAATATACGGGAATATAGAAAACTCTAATAAGTAATTACGTTCATTAACAATAAAATAAGTAATGTTTAAATATAATGAATTAGTCCTGTTCAAGAAGTAAAACGGAACTATACAGAATTTTGTTTTCTATCGTTAGGTCTCACTCCGTCGCATTTGGTCTCGTTTCCGTTTTGTACTGTTGTTGCGCACCAGTGATGACTACGTGTCGAAAACCTAGCTCGCCCAAACATCGTGAGTGGACAAGTATCCTTGTCCTGTGTAGTTTTAATCTCTTAGTGACTACACGCCGCTATAACATCTTTTTGAACGATTTTGTTTCTCTGTCATCGATAGCTGTGCACATTATAGTCTAATCTAACGTAATTGCACAGTGTAAAATTCTATGAAACTCAAATAGCAATGCTGCATTGATGACACATAGAGGTATGGCTTCAAGGCTAGTTCTGCGGTAGCTAATAGGTTAAACCTAAAGACCCCCATACACACTGAAAGATGCGGAGATGTAGATATCGCTGCAAGCAATGGGTTTCAGCCTTTTTCTCTTTTTGTTGAAGTGCAGCATGTACAATACCATGAAACTTTAGGAGACTCCAACCCATCACTTGTAGCGATGCATGTGTCACGTATAAACGAACTAGAGTTTAAAACTTCTTGGTTTACTACTTCACACTTAATCCGCAAAAAAAAAAGATGTAGAAAATAGTTTCGCTGAACTTCGGTTTATTTGTGCAGAGATTTAGTACAAAACTGCTTATGCTACAAATTAGGGTTCCTTATATACTACTTTTGGGGACTAACCTTTGTCTATGGTCTGCGGCTGCGTTCACGACTGAATGTGGAACTTGTCCGAAAAACTTTCAATGTGTCACACATGCATCGTCGCATGTTTCAGTGTGTATGGGGGCCTTAAGGTCGCTCTGACTAATGTGAGAGCAGGACTGTAGATAACTGTAGATTTAGTGTGACTGTAGATTTAGTGCGACACACGATTTAGGCTAACGCAGGAATCTCTCTAGACACAGGCCGTCTTTCGGACATTCACACTCAAAAATCATTCTCTCCCCTACAATCATTCTTCTCAAGCACACTCTTCACAAACCTTCAATCATACTTCTTAAAAGCCGAACTGGGAACCTTGGACCTGAGACGTTGTGCAGGCCACTTTCCCTCGACCGTCAGACTTTCCTCTTTTATTGTCCTTCGCTCACACTCATTCTCGTATTTACGCTTGTTAAAAATATCCTAAGCTGTGCTAAAAATCCTAGATACTACATGTTTTGTTAACTTCTTGTCCTATAATTTCTTATTCAATTCTGACCGATTCAATTACTTTGTCGTCATTAATTTATTGAAAAAAGAAAATAATTCTAGGGATATATTTTATGCCTATGCTTGCTCCACAATATAACAATTGATAACACAAGAATGATATTTAATTTGAATTCAAAGAAATCCAGTAATATTTATGTTTGTTAAATTCTGTTTGAAATCTTCGCTACAAGCCTGGCATGATATTATATGGCCACTGATTGAGTATGCGAATTTAATATTTTCAGTAATGAATATATTGGAAGTCAATATCACGTTTATTGTAAAGTAACGAGAAGTTAGTAATATATTTGTTATCGGTATATGTTGACTTTGATTGATGAGACGATATGAACGTGTATCTTAATTTATTTCTCTTTTGACTCTTTAGTTTGATATGTTTGTGTTAAGTATATTTTTTTAATAGATACCATGTAATGGGGAAATATCATTACTTGTAAATCTCAAGTTGATTAATAGATATAGCTATACTATGTAGTATTTTAAAAACCAAAAGAAAAAGTATACATACTCTTCAATCCCTTATTGTGCAATCAGGAAAATTCCATTGCATGATAAGATGGTGCTTGAGAAAACAATATAAGTAGCATGCACTTCCTTATTCACTGTTTCTGCAATGCAAGATTGCATAGTACCTAGATCAGTAATTATATAGGTAAATGATTTCTCGCAGATTATGATAATCTTGAAACATGTTCTTAGGGACATATAGTAATTCTACATTTTCTTTCTATGTATATGTTACCACTACTCGGTTTTAGTTTCTGAAATATTCGCAAAAAATGTTGACAATTAGTTAAAGTTTCGCCTGCGTATAAACTTAAATAGGCTTAAAATATATTTTAAAATGAGTTGTGCAATTCGAGTCCACAATTTACATTGAAAAAAAATACACATGTAATATATTTAACAAATCCATATAAAATAGTATTATTTATTTTTATTATAAAATATATTACAAGAAATTACCAATTATCACTCTTTTTGTCTTATAAGGACTTCTTTTATATATCTACCATATATGTAAATACATTTTCTTTCTGCTTCTGTTTTTAACTTCCTTTTTACTACAGATTTTTTTAGAAGAGTCTGTTATTTTAATACTCAGTGGTTGTAATATTCCAAACAAAAATTAATCTAACATTTCTATTTGTCTAACTTGACCGTGTTAAAGTGAAATGCAAATGCCGTGTAATTAGAAGTTCTTCCGTTCTACTTCAACCGTGTTAAACCGAAGTTGTGCAATTCGAATGCGGTGTAAATCGAGGGCTATGCGTACTGCTAACTGTTGCTCGGAATTAGTTTCAAAAATAAAAAAAATATTTCATATCAATTCAATATTATGTATCATATTTTGTGCATTGTAGTTACGTTCGATTGAAATCGTGCAGTTTACTCCGGCCTCTATAAAGGAGTCTGTTAAAGGACAGTTGTTAAACTTCACAATTGTAAAAGGTAGTTATTATTTTGATTATTATCAAATTTAAGTAAAAGTCAAAACTCCAATATAGTGTCACGACACAGTGTATTTGCTCTTAAATATGTAATTCGTTAAACTGGTTTGGTAAATAGAAAAAATTACCATGTAGTTGAAAATTAATTTACTTATTGATAATTTCAATATTTTCAAAAATTCTAAGACTTCGCCACCAGATAAGAAAAAATGTGAACCTGATAAATACTAGGGGTACCTATATTTAAATTTTTTAAACCGTACATGATACACTCAATCAATGAGACACCCGCCGTAATTGTTTACGACATTTTGTTACCTGGAAACGAGCTTTTATATGCTCCTTTTCTAAAAATCGCTTGATTTTTCATTAAAATACTTTTGTATTCCGTTTATGACATCTTCGTAATTGGAAAACTTTTTCCTATCTAAAACATGCTGCAGAGATCTAAATAAATGAAAATCGAGTGGGAATAAGGTAGGAGAATAGGGCAAATGTACCAAAGTTTTCCAGTCATGCTGCAATATGACAATCTTTCTGTTAACCAAAACAAGATGTTTTTGCACTGCTTAAACGTATTAGTTGTTCTCAATAAAGACTGACAGCAACAATATTTCTAGTCTTTAAATGAATATTGATTTGAATATTCAGTTTTGGAATTAGCATCGGTGCATCACTCGGAGTGAATCATTATGTCTTCCGCTTTGAAGTATAATAGATAATTCATTTCTCATCCCCCGTGATTAAACGGTCCAAAAAGGACTCTACTTTGTGTCTAACGAATAACCAATTGCATACAACACTGCATAACCAATTGCATACAACACTTTGAAGTCAGTTTAACATTAATAGATCATCAATTTGATTCACACGAAATTTGCAACATTCATTTAACAACAAACGTCAGGCCGTATGACATTACTTATGGATATCCTTAATATGTAAAAACATGTGCCGACGTGAATGTGTTAACACTCAGCCTGAAATAAACCTGAGTTCCTGGGCATTTGTACTTTAATCGTAGATAAAGTTTCTCGTCAGTTTGCAGGACGACGTCCAGGACTTTAAGTTTGTGCAGGTTGAGTTTTGCATTTACAATAACACATCACCATAGCAGTTAGCAAAGGGCTAATTGATTGCGCATCTTTACACTGTTGCCATGATGCAGGCCGTTGGCAGAAACAACTAATCAGACTGCCTTTTCCGAAAAACACTCAACGTTCGCTCCACCGACGCATTTGAAAAACTCCGTGTAGATCAAATCGACTGAAAACATCATCCGAAAAAGTGCACGCTGTGTATCACAATAAAGCATTAACCCTTAGAGGCTTCGTCGCTTCGTCGAGTGACGCCGAAAATTTTTCCAAATGTGTCAGCGTCAGTCTGTGCGATTCTTTATCTTTGATAGCGATGAATGTATGTATATTATCTGTTGTTTTCTCTTTATTTGTACGTTAGATTATACATTATAATATAACATTTTCTCATTTTTATTCAATTTTTGAATTTATACAATTATCTACATGAAGCGTCTGAATTTTTTTCGAGGTCTTAGCTGAGTCGGTTGCTCCGCGAGGTTCTCACTACGGAAATCCGGAACGCCCTCGAGATATTTGAATACCTCATGTGGAGTGAAAGAAACCAGATAGGGACATGGTACAGGATGAGGAAAGTTACATTATCTTCCCATGAGTCGGTTTTTCTAATAAGCGGACGTTTTTTACTGTGAAAAGCGTATTTTTTCAAATATATATGTAATTCATGGCATTTTCTGGCATTTTCTACATTTTTATTTGTGTTTCTTTAGATAATTGTCACTTCTTTTGTATTTTGCCATAAACATTATATCAATAACTATGTTCAAGGAAAGAGAATTTATTTTTCTAAGATAATTATTCTAATAAAATAGTTTTTTTGCAAAATATTGTTTGCTTAATTTCTGTAAATAACACAGGCAGCAGAAAATGAAAATGTTTACTATACCTTGTAAACGTTTTAGCACATTGATATAAATGGTAAAATTTGTATAGACATTTTCTATAAGCTAAGCATTTCTTGGTAAAATTGCATGGCAATTTTCGAAAGAATTTTAGCAATTACAAATGACACTCAAATGGTTAAATTTTTGTTAATTCTTTATTCGTTGTACTTTCCCAGTGTTAGTCGTTTTTGCTCCCTGTTCAATTAAAATATCTTCCATCGCTATTAATTTCATGTTTGAGGTGGATATTACAAAACGAAATTTAATTTACATTTTTAAAAACATGCAAAACATTGAGATAAATGTCTAGATGTTTGACCTCCTCGTTGACTAAATTAACTTTGCCGAGGAATCACTAATCTATTCTATAATTATCACAAAGGCATTTACATTTATCTGTATCTATTAGAAATATATACGTATATATAAGAAAGAGCGTGATTAATAACCTATGCCGTCCCTCTAAAGAAGTATTTCTTGCAAATTACATAAGTTGAAGATTTTTGTGTTGAAATATATTTCATAGAAGGTTTGCAGAAAAGGAAATTTAAATGTGAAATTCCTTAATCGTTGGTATTTTAAAATACAAACTTGAAATTTTCCAAACTAAACGTATTGGTACTACCCCTAGTAATAAGCATTCGAGCAGAAGTTATGGAACAAAGCTAATCCGTTTTGGTTTTACAAAACGAATAGCTCGTACCATTCAATTTATTTAACATCGTTCGATCAGATACATTTGGATGCTATATTTCATTTATTTCTTTTAATGTAGTACGTTTCGTGCTCTTATCTATTTCCGTTAATTGCTTGCAAAACTGCGAGTGAACGAGAGCGAAGCCAGCGAGTGAGATGAAATATGAGTATCAAGAAATTATTATTAGGAAAAATATTTAATAGCAGAGAATAATGGAATAAAAAGCACAAAATAACCAATTAACACTAAAACTACCAAGCATTTAATATGATTAATATGTAATCCTTATAAAAATTGTAATAATAGATTATTTTCAGTTTCTTCAGATAGTTTCGAATATTCAATACTTTTAAGGTATCAGTAATTGCGAAAGATTTAAGATGAAGATTAATACCTCAGATTTAAGTAGCATAAGAAATATCTACATAACATAGCAGAAATTATTTGATATTAAAACATATAAAGATGAATATGAATTTTGTGTAGTCAACAAAATGATATGGGCTGAAGACTCACTAAAAGCCTTATGAAATCTATGCCAACGTGCACAAAAATGATTCTGCATGCAATTGAATAACGTAACAAAGTATCAGGTAACACGAATATTTAGTACATTATTGCTTACTTTTTATAAGTTCTCAGAATTGTTACCGTTCAAATACTTTTCTCCATGATTTCAGTCGCTCGAGTACTTTCTTCCAAGCATTATTTTGTTTATATATGGTTTTCTGTATGATAATAAATAAAAGTCTCCATCTTTTTGTGTTTTTATTTCACATTAAACTTTTTTAATATTGTCGTGCGTTTTATATTAGTATCGTTTTATTTTTCCTGTAAAAAGAATTGATATTTCTTAGTAACTTTATCTTATAATGTTTGTTCCAATACTTATTCCCAGAGGTAAGTTGCATATGGGCTCCTCATAACAGAGAGTAATTTAACACTGAATCTAGTGTTATATTAAGATTAGTTCATTATTTCTTTTTCTCATCTTACCCACACGTAAAATGGACCAAATGGAAGAATATGATTTCTCCATACATATGTGAGATTTTTGTATGTGAGCAGAGAAGTTTACTTTTAACCTTAAAATGTTATCAAAAGTGAGTTTTTATGCTTTCTGTAAACGGGTCGCATTATTCTTAATTTTATGAGGTCCAAAAATAACTGATCTTTGTATACGTATTACATTCAATTTTTCCTTTCATCACAGGTAACCTCGTTACATAGTTTATCTACATTTTATATAAAAATTTTAAACAATCCATATTTCAAATCAGATTTTAGACAGAAACAGAAAACTAGGCAGCCACATATTATGCACACTTTCTCTACATATTAGAGGTACAAATTAATTTAGTACTGTTTCTAAAGAAACTGAACAATCAGAGAAAAATGAAGTACATTTTTATGTTTTACAATGAAAAACTTTTCAGTCCCAATCCCGCCTTTCCCTTTCCATAGAATGTGGTTAAATATCGCATATTGTATAATCTTTCCAAAAAATATTACCAATATAAAGTCTACACAAACGTCAGTTTTCGATAACCCTTATGTACGCAACCATAATAACCACGTTGTTCCACAACCGGGTACCCGGGTACTCCAAGCACTTGATTCAAGCAGACTTTATACAAAATGATAATTTTATGCTCAAACTTTTGAAAAATATATTCGAATTTATTATTATTACAAATAAAATACTATTTCATGCATTTAAATATAGAAAGACTAATGTATGATTAGAAAATGACATAATCTTGAAGATTGTAGCTGAAGTGTGTTGCATATGTTTATACATTATTTCCGTCATAAGAATGGAAGTATAGTACAAGTTCCGAAGAAAGCCTGTCTTTGAGATAAATTGTTGTCAAGAACATTTGTTAGTGAATGGAATTGTTCTACAAAAGTTTGATAATATATTTTTGTCATATTGAAAATATATTGAGGAAGTGGCTGGTTCTATAAAAAGACGAAGAAAAACATGTAAATGTTGCCAAAATTGTAACAAGCCTGTATGAGATGAGTGCGCACAAACGATTAAAGATATAACAGTTGTAGATTATTAGTACAATAAATAAATAATATGTTAATTAGCGAGAAAAATAACTCTTTTGTTTATCAATATTCGACTTTTCTCCATCATCCGTCGTATGGGTACCCGTGAGTGGAGCATACGTTTCGTTTAAACTCTCTAGCGTTTTAATTTTTACAAGAATCTTTATTTGTTAATCGTGTCTAGATTAAAAAATGTACAAAGAAAGAGTATCTAAAAGTTTTTTAAATATTCCAACCAGAACATAATAAATGTTTACGTTAAACTGGAAATGATTACCCTGGTACCCGATTACGTACATAAGAGTTAATTATGAAAGCTAGTAAAACTTTTTCCTGCTCCCTTTCTTCATATGACTCACTAACAATTACCTCTGCGAATGCACTACACGTAGCAGGAACAAAATTCAAACCATCAAAGTTACAAAGAGATCTCTGAAAGCGGAGCATTCGGTAACAATGATTTCCACCTCCACCCAACAAACCGTTCAATTTGTCTCCGTTCGCATTGTCCGCACGCGCCGTTGAGCAGCTTCAACTGCGTCTCCGGGAATCTGTGGCCGCGTTTCCGATCTAGTTTCCGGATCGTCGTCCGATGTACCTACGCAGCACGGGCCCGCGGCGGAACGGCTGGCATCGTATTCGAATCGAAGCGGACACGGCCGCACGGAACCCGGTGTATGGAACTGAATATTAGCGTCAGCCGGGCAATGCGACGAGAAACTGTAGGTGTTGGCGCAGCATCCCTTCAATTTTGCAGCAGCACCAACCTGGAGAGCTCGTCGATAAAGAGGGATTGTCGGAGCAATTTGAACGGAAGGAAGGGTTCTAGGCGTCGCGGCGCGGCGCGGTGGTTCGTTTCGTTTTCGTGCCATGATGTGTGACCGAGGTGAGAACGAGCCGGTTGCCGTAAGTCTACCGTGAAAGGACTAACGAGTCTCATCCTGAGAGAATTCTTCGAGCAGCAGTCCGAGCCACCATTTCTCCGTCCTCTTCCGTTTTCCCCTGGTATCTGTTCCCAGCGCCCTGCATGTCCCGTTTCAAACTCCTCTTTCACTTCTACACCTAGCTGCCATTCGTATTTCGTCTATCTTGTGTCGAGGTCACATGAGTGTTGAGGCGGTAGACGTTACAATTATATTATTTAATCCTAGACGGTCGATAAGTTTTTAACTCCTTATTCTACAATATCGTGTCAAACTCGTGCCGAAGGTTTCTAATAGAAATTAACGAAAAAAATATTATGCAATTTGTTTGCATGTAAATGATATATTATTCCTCTGTCATTAATTATTATGCCTCAGAACACACGTTGACATAGAATAAGACTGGAATCTTCTCTTGTTTTCAATAAATTATTGACAACAAACTAGTTGGATCGATCACCGTTTAAAAATAAATCGTAAGGCAAGGGATTATAATAATCAAATGACCTTTGAAATCACACAATATTCACTAAATGTAGAGGAAACATTGATAATGGAACGGAAAATATCTCTCAAACTATTGCAAGTATAGTAAATAGAAATGAAAATAGAATTTGTTACATTTCCGCACAATGGAGTTTGTCCATTGTTAAGAGTCAACGTTATTTTATATTGGATCGGTTACGCGAACAGTGTCCGTCAAATATAACGTGCAACGTCAACAGCGTTAACAATTGTTACAACGCGCATTGAAATATCGATGCGAATATTGCCGCATTCTTTCATGTTTTAAAACAATGAAACGTATCAATATGAAAAGTTATCGAGAATCCGACACGTTAAATCGTATCGAATGTACAACGCACATTGCAGCAATTGTCAACGATGTCGACGTTACACGCAGGTTATATTTGAGTGGCCCAGAACAATAGTGGTTTCACTATTATCTTAAAGTTTCCACGAAATGTTCTTGGATTACTGAAATAGTAGCATTGCAATGTTATTAACACTAGAACTACACTAGAACTTATTTTCAGTTTCTTTATCTTCAGACATCCATTATAGTAATCAAGTGAAACTACTTGTTTCAAATATT